GGCCCGCCCGGGCCCGTGGGCCCCCGCGGCCGCCCACCCCTCCTGGCTGAGGCGCCCCTGCTGCCGCTGCCACCTCTGCCGCTGCCGCCGCCGCCCGCGCGCCCCTCTCCCTTCAACCTCCTGGTGCCGCCAGCACCCCGCGACCCCTGGTCACTGCCTGCCTTCACCCCGCCCCTGCCGCCGCCACCCCACTTCTACCTGTCGCCGCCCTGCTGATGCCCGGCCCTCCTGCGGGCTGGTGAGTAGGCAGCCCTCCCTGGACATGAGGCTGTGCTCCTTACCGCCTTCCCCAATAGCACATCCAAAAGGCATAGGTCAGAAACCGGCCTGGGAAGAAGAAGGGAACAGCCCAGGTTTGGGGAATTTGACACCCCATGAGGAGCTCAGCTCATCTCTTTTTAAGGGTCTTTATTCCATTTTCCCCTTCTGCCCTACAGCAAGCCTCTTGCCTGGTTATTTGAGAATAACCCTGTGCTGATAAGCTGGCTGGTGATCAGGGCAGGGGGAGGGGCTGGCGGGGGACGGGGGCATAGCACAAGGCTTGAGGAAATGAAAACAAAAGTTTAAAATGCATTAACTAGGGTATTAGGGTACACAAAATGTCTCATTTTCTCATAAAATAAAGCGTTTTGGATGCCATCGCCAAGGTCCTCCTTCACTTACATTTGTGTGGCTTCTTGGAATCTCAGATCCTGCATTCCAAGTCTTAAGAAGTCATACTTTCACCTGAAATAGATCCAGGGGTCCCGAGGGCCTAGACGCACCAGGAAAATGGCAGCGTTGATAGACAATCGATACTGGGCTCTGGAGCAGGAGTGTCACATGCAAGGGCTGTGAAGTCATCCCCATGAGACGGGAAAGCTCCCATGGTCAGTCAGGACAGGAAGCCCCTGTTCTCTCCCGTCTTTACTTGCTCCCCGCCCCCATCCCTGCCTGTTTCTCCCTAGCATGCCTACAACTCAGAATAAAGTTCTCTTTGTTATTCAGGTGGCTTGGGCTCAGGTAACCAGGCAGCCATCCTATCTCAATGGGCTCTTCTATAGCAGCTCAGGAGTGGTATCAGGAAGCCAAATTGACCTTGGGGGACCTCTGAGAACCTGGAACCTACCAGCAAGAAAGGCAGTGTATGAGTTTCTGGTCAGTGCTGTAGCAAATCTTCACAAGTTTGGAGGCTTAAAACAACAGAAATTTATTCTGTCCCAGTTCTAGAAGCCAGAAGTCCAAATTTAAGGTGTCTCAGGGCTGCGCTCCCTACCAAGGCTCTGGGGGATGATCCTTTCTTGCCTTTTCCAGCTTCTCATGGCTCCTGTTTTCTTGCTTTGTGGCCGAATCACTTGTCTCTGCCTCCATCTTCATATGGCCTTCTCCCCTTTGTCTGTTTCACATCTCTGTTTTTTTCTTATGACACTTGTCATTGGATATAGGGACTACCCAAAATCCAGAATGACCTCAGCTTGAGATCCGTAATGTAATTACATCTGCAGAGACCCTTTTTTCAAATAAGGCCACACACAGGTTCTAGGGCTTAGGACCTGCACATAGAATTGGAGGCCATCAACCAATACAAACAATTTTCTCTCCCCTTTGGGGCTGGCCCACCTCCTGAACTGTCTGTCTTCCCAGCTCCCCTTACTGTGTTTTAGGCCCTATTCCTCACTGACCCGCAGCCTTGGGTGCCCTTAAAGTCCCCGGGCAGGAGCCAAAGACGCTAGTACTTTAATAAAGCTTTCACTGGTCCAGGAAGAAAACTGATGATCTTTCCCCTTTGTGGAATGATGGGGCCATTCTCATTCCT